GGTGAGGGGGGACATAGCGGGAGAAGGGAGGGGGGATGCCAAGTGAATTGAATCTGGGGCGCCAGAGAGGGGAAGAGAGGGGTAAGGTTGTGGGCGGGTTGGGGAGACTAATGACGCTCTGATACGACAGTTTCCTGGGGGTACGGCAGCTGCTCAGTACTGCATGTACGGGCCTTGTACGGAAACCTGACCCACCTCGAGGCCCTGACCAAAGCCGTCCTTCACGCCGGCGTCGGCGATGACGGAGATCCTGGACGGCAGGAACGGCGGCACACACATACATACGTACGTACATCCACGCGTCGTTCATTCCGACCCATGGTTCGGTGCCACGCTGTAACGTATGTGGAGGTTGTCCCGCTCTTCCTACCTTACTTGATTCGCTTCCTGTACTATCGTTTCAAGTTACAAGGTACACACAAATGAACAACTAAAACGGTTTAATGGCCAATGGCCGTTGGGGTCGTTGGGCAGTTGGTAAACACACACAGGCGCTCAAAAACACACACGCCTCCTGTACCTGTACTGCGTGTTGGGCCGTAGTGACGGTACACTCAGGCGAGCCCTGCCTCGCGAGACCATTGAAAAGCTGAAGGGTGCGGGTACACACCCGCCGGCTGATGCTGCCGGTGTGACCTGGCACAGTACGATACGTCTTGCCAGTGCCTCAGGGGGGGTGTCCTCGGAAAGGCCGTGTGGCAGCCAGACATCCAGACGGCGATAACTGCGTGTGCGGTGTGGTGGTGTGTGCATGTGTGTATGTGTGGGGGCGGGGAGAGGGGGAGGGGGGGAAAGTCGCGTAGTGTGCATGTGTGTATGTGTGTATGTGTGTATGTGCACCACACGGTGTACACCCATCCAGGGAGGCCCATNTCGGGAGGGGGCAAAAGGGGCGGACGGGGGACAAGGAGAGCCTTAGAGGGGACATATACCTAACATGTGATACATACACACATACAGACATGGCATACACGTATAGCTTAGCATACACATGCACGCCAGTTGTCCAGGGATGGTGACAACCATGGATATACAATACATCAACTCANACGCATGGCTGTTGTGCGTGTCCGTTTCGGAAAGGGACGAAGCGGAGAGAGCCAGACTGGGCACTAACCCTAGCTGAACACGGTGGAGGAAAAGGAGGCGGCAGGGCCCCCTTGGTGAGAGATATGCTGGATTTCCCCCCCCCTATATATATACATACACACATACACACGCACCTACCGCCTCCATTAATTCTCCCGTCCCACTACCACTGGCACCTTTCCCACTACCACACGCCCACCATCCTTCCCGTTACCTCTCTCCCCGCCCCATGCACACACATGAAAAGGGGGGGCTTTAGCTCAGTGGTAGAGCGCGCGCTTTGCATGCGTGAGGTCACCGGATCGATCCCGGTAAGCTCCAATTCGTTGCACGGGAACACGCTGGGGAGATGCCCTACAACTTACTTTGTTGGCTAGACACTACTAGTGGCGCGCGACCATTGCCCCCGGGAAATCCCGGGATCGGCAGATTCCGTTGGATGCCGGTGGTGGGTGCGGAACCTGAGCGATCCACTGAGAAGTTGACTAGGGTGACTAGATGAAGGTGCCCCCAAATACCGGGGAAGGTAGCCGCCACGGGTGAAGATATGCCCCCCTTTCCACACAACACACACACACACACACGTACCCCACCCCCCACCGCCCCCTGACCCCCACCCCACCTGGTCCGGGGGTAATTGCTGTTGTTGTAATTCGCGTTGAAAGGGAGTCGGAAGGGCAACAGACCGGAAAACAACACCTCCAGGTCGCTCTGCACCGCACCGGCCAGAGCGTGGTAGCGAGCGCCGCGAGGGAGGAACATCCGGTAACTGCGCGTTTATTTGCCGTTTTTATTTTATTTTTATTTTTTCGTTTTTCCGGGTTTCATTTTTGGTGGGGAGGA